AATAATAGTTCCTGTGTTCCCTTCCAACGTCTCGGTTACACGCTAACCACCAAACATACACAAGCTCAATGTGCGCCCTGCTAGCCGTCTGCGTGACATACATACCATGCACGTGTTGGGGAAAGCCTACGTTACACGAGCCTGAACCTCCTTCCGCAAGCGTCCGCCCATTCATTCTAAGGCTCGTCAGCTTTTTGTCGGAATGAAGGGCCCTGAAGCACTGGATGATAAGAACCACCGTCGCAACAGTGGCGACTAGGGAGGCAAGCGCTAAGATGGGCGAACTCCTGCGTTCAAGGTAAGCCCAGATGTCATTGTCTGGGAAAGTCAGCTCCGAGCTGGGAACGGTGGCGGACGGTGCTTCTGCGCTGCCGGTCAACTCCGTTCGGAGAGGAGCAATAGCATTAAGTGGTGTCAACCCATGCATTTTGCAGGTCAAATGGGCGCATTATTGCATTTTTTATATGACAGAAAGACAATTATAAGAAGTTCAATGTAGATATGGGAGGGGTGCTGCGTATGGTCTCCAGCCAGCCCACATCACGCACGAAACACAGCAATGGCCTAGCATGTATCAGCAGTTATTCAATGACGTCGGCTACAGAAATCCACAGATTATCTTCTCTTGCAGATTTGAAGATCATCCACTTTCTATTTTTTAATAATGGAAAATATCTTCGCACTATATCCCGATCCTGAAGGCGATGCTGTAGGTGACGCCACCTGTCCGTAAACCGACAGGAAGATTGTTGACCGTCTAGCTCTTTCTGCGTGCGTCTGGTCAGTTGGTGGAGTAGAGAGAAAAGTAGGAGAGCGATTGAGCTCGATCGTATCGACTAACCATGTTATTTACGAGCTCGTTGCGTCATCAGCTTGTGTGTGTACATGCTCTCCTGTTTGACCCGTCGCCCATTGTTGAGAATGTGTAATGACCCGGTGACAATCATCACTATGGCTGGTATGCGAAGGACTGCGTGAATGACTTGTTTGTAACAATTTAACTGTATATCCATTAAATCAAAGGTTTATGTCGATACCCGAACTAAAAACCAAATTTCCCGCCGAGAATGTTCTGCCCCCGCGGCCGCTAGATCCGCAGGGTACGGCCGATCCATGCTCCGCGGTACCGGCCTCTGTAGTGCACTAGCACTACAAGTAAATGCTATTAATACGGATAGATAAATTAGAAGATATAAGGAGCGAGGACGAAATAAGTATGACGGAAACTATTAATCCGAGCCTATTTAGCCTAATCTAACAAGTAAGTCTGACGCATTACCATAGTAGCAGATTTAAGGGGAGAACGGGGGCCAGCACATGGTAGCCAGGGACGGTCGCACCCCGCGGCGAGCAGCCCCTTGTGGGCTTGCAGTGGAAAGGGGCGAGGGCCCGGGTGGGGGGACAGTTCTTTGAACGAGAAAAACGATGAAATACGTTTTACTTTAACTGAAATTTGGCTAATATTCCTCCGTTACGGTAGATCCAACGCTACTGAGCACGTAACTTGTTAGGGGTTAAGTTAGGTGAACACCCAGAGGTCATTACAGCCTCTCTCTCTCTCTATGAGACTGCGACTATGGTATACGGTTGCCCGTAAAGCGCATTACTAGTCTAAATTGATACGAAACTATAGTCAGTTTATCCTACTTATTACTTTTTCTAATCTTTAGTTCATTCGCTTATCTAGTTTCCTATTCTAACCGCAGTACTTTGTAGTGCAAGTGCACTACAATTTCCCCCTTCGGCCAAAATTTTCTGCCTCTCTAAAACATCTCTATTATACCCTGTAC